TTATAAATATTTAAGTAGGTTTTTTTTTTTTGTATTTTTTTTTTTTCTTTTTTCTTAGTTTGTTTTGTTTTTCTTTGTTTTCTTTTGCCGAACGATCCTGCTTCCATATTTTGCATTTTTCGTGAATTATTTTTGATGTTTCTCTATTTATATTTTTATTTACTGAAAGATGCGCGTTAATTTTCTCAAAAATTCGAAAGAGTTTCTGAACACAAACGAAACTAAGAGAGAACGATTGCAGACCGATCGAAAGAGCGCAGAAGAGGAATTTGTAGAAAGTTTAATAAATAGAAGCCGATTTATCCTCGTTTTGGTGTAGCCTTGTATTTGATCAACATATATTTTTTTTTGCGGTGTAGCGACCTATTCTTTTTTTTTTTTTAGTTTCGTGAGATTTTTCACTTTTTTTTGTCATTTTTTCTTATTTTTTCGTTTCATTTAAATGAAAATTCTTTGAAAATTGTAGACAAATAAATTTTTGGACGGTAAGGGATAGCAGAAAACATAGAAATTTAGTTTGGAAACTCAAAATAACTGCGAAAGGTTTTTGAGAAAATATTTGATATTTATGGATGAGAATATGAATATGTTTAAGAGTGTGTGTGTGTGTGTGTGTGTGAGTGTGTGTGTTGTTGGCTGCAACGCCCCTTTAATAATTGTAATTGTCGTAGGGCGTGCCCAAATATGAATAGAAATTAGGGTTAATGGGCTGTGCGTGTGCATAATAAAATCCAGAAGCCGGATCCGGCGCTACTCAGTCAAGGAAACCGGTATTAACCAATTTCTCCAAGAAGAACTTCACATCGCCCAACTCGGAGTCCTTAATGCCAAGCGATTTCAACATGCCAAGATCTCCATTCTCCACGGCCATAAAAACGGAACGCAAGTGCTCCAGGTCAGATCTGCAAAAAAAAGGGAAACAAATTATGAAAACTTTAACTAATTTCTTATGAACAGTAAGTTTTAAGTATAGAATTTCTTTTTCCAAAGCTTTAATACATTTGCTTTCAGGCAATTTTAATTAAAATATATATAGTAGACGGGCAATGGCTCTATTCTTCGCTGTGGTCAGGCTTATACAACGCTTTCCTTAATTAATTCTTTCAGGTGACGTCGTTGTATTGTTGTTGTTTAAAATGACAAAACATCATTATGAGCAAAAGCATGAAAACATGAGCGACAGAGCAACCACAGCACATTGTGTACTGCTGCGTCACAAATTAAAACAAGCATGAGTGATTTCACAATGTGGAATATGACAGACGAAGAAATACCCTACATATACTGAATATGGTGGCTTTCTTCATATACTTTTTTAGGGGTTTCTTCTTGAATTATTTTCTGATAACAATATCTAGGCTCTTCTTAGTCTTGAAAACTTGTTCAGAACTTGCTCCAGTTTTAGTTCTTCTGAATCATTGATAAACTCCAAGTGCAAAATAAATTACCAATTCTTACTGAAGCCATAAAAATAAAAAGTTTTGCTTGAGAGGAAACCAAATACATATGTATATAATACATACATGATTTATCGATAGTTCTGGATACTTTTACATCATCGATACCCAACAATAACTGAAAACTTTTGCTTGCCTATTCCGTTACATAATGCACTATCCGTGTAGCCATTGAAGCTCTGTGGTACGTCCGTTAAAGTGCTCTCGCAGGCACTTCAAACTTTCGCTTGAACGATTAATTGCGTTGATGAAATTTCGTAAGTGGCCCCCAAAATGCCCCAGCGAGAGGCAGAACAACCGCAGAGGCGGTGGAGGTAGCGGCATTCCACATAAAAGAGGCCCTGCGAGGGGCTTTTGGCTAATTTATCAGGCTGTGCGTTTGTCGGGCTGTGTGTCTTATGTGTCTAGCCGTGGCTCATAATTACGTACACTCCGGTTAATTGGGCCTACGTGCGACAGTCAGTTTTTGGGACGAAATCTCATTACTATTGCCGCCGTTTTGTGGTTCGCTTTTATTGTTCTAATTTAATGAAAATTTTCCCTTATGAAGAGCTGCCAAGAGTCTATTTACTCTTTGTCGCAATTTTGGCTTTGTGCGGCTTGGTTTTCCTTTTAATTTGAATTATTTTAACGAGGTGAAAGAACTTGTACAAGTATTTATAGCAAAGCTGCACGAGTCTGTCATTATTATATATTTATTAAGTATTTAATATCAATTTATATAACGTATCATGAATTGGGATTTTCTTAATGGAAACCGAAAAATAATTTATGCCAGATAAAAATGCATATCATGCTGCTTGGCTAGAGCTATTTTTGTCTTTGAGCTTCCTGAGCGAAAAATAGTTTATGTGGCTTTGTAAACGTCCTTTGTTCCAGAGCCACATTTCAACCCCTTGGCTGGCGTCCTGCTTATGCATTTGTACGGGCAAAGGACTACACTGGGGTTGCCAGCCGTGAAACTAGTTTGCAAACTGTCAACTGCGCCAAGAACCAGAGAAAGAAAAGCCAAAAATATATTCAAATAAAGAACAGACGCTGCCACAGACACAAAGCAAACACATGAAAGGGTACGTATGTCATATTTGAAAATTTTATAACTTGTTTGTGGTTGAGGGCGCAACGCATAATTCAAGAAACTCGCCAAGGTCGCTGCTGGATGCTGAGCAGAGCGCTTGGTCAGTGCCAGCAAGCAGGAGCCGAGCACACGCACACACTGTGAAGGGGAAGGAGGGCAGGGGGCGACGCATGTGGCCAGAGTAAAAATGGTTTTGGGGTATGTTAAGTTTATTTAAGAGCTTTCATTATTTATATTATTTTTTTGGGAGAATACATTACTCGAGGCACTAAATTAAAACTCTCCCTCATGGAGCAAAGGATCCGAGATAACAAAAGGCTTTATTGTGGATATACAGAGCCCTTCGGGCTTACAATTTGGCTTACACATGCTGACCTTACCTCATTAGATGCAGTGCGGCTCCAAAGTCCTCAATAGTCTGCGACTCGCTCAGGGCGATGGCCACCTTCTCCACACCGCCCAACGGGGAGAGCGCGTCACGTGCCTTGCTGCCAAAGAGTTTTTCCAGGTAATTAGGTCCATGAGAGGCGATTAGGCTCTGCAGAAACGATGCAGTCTCCTCAACCGGTGGTCGTTTGGCTGCAAGCACAGGAAAAACCGAGAAACTGTTACAAATTGCTAATAAATAATCCAAAGCACTTGAAGGCATTGCTATGGCAAAGGGTCAGGAAATAAAACATTAGACAAGTCGCATCCATACCCACACGTGCTTCAATTAACCGAAGCAGAGATAGAGGTGGAGTGAGAAAGAGGAGTGAGAGAGAGAGAAAAAGACACTGGCTTTGCAGCATGGAATCCATTAGTTTGTCATAATTTGATACAATTTGTGTTTATATTTCTAGTATAAATTATAAATGCTTATAGAGAAACTGTTTACATATTCATTGCCTTTCATATGTAATTTAAATTGGAAATTTTAATTGAAAATGTAAATTAATTATTTTGATTTATAGTTCAGGCCAACAAAGTTTGATTTGACTAAGAGATGTACAGAATTAGAGCTGGACCCCAATAAGAGAGTTAATTAATTGCAAGCAGTAACATGTCAGAACTATATATATAAAGATAAACAAAAATATTTTAAAAAATCATTGTTATCGATCCTTCCATGCAAACACAATTATTTTATTTACAATTCTTTTTCTTCAAAATAGCCAGTTTAAGAGTCGAAAAAATAATATTTTTGATCAATAGAATAGAAGACAAATAAAGCCTAAGATTTTAAAACTTTATGTGAAATTCGAAGATATTAAAAAAAATTAAAAAATTGATTAATGCATGTATATAAATTCAGAGATTTTTTAACCAGAGAAAGCAACAATTTCTCATTGAATTTATAATTCTTTTTTTAAATACATAGCTCATACTTTTTTTTTAGCTTTCACGAACATTTCGAGGCAATGTTTCATTAGCATATTTTTAATTTATAGCCTAGGAAGGTTCTCGATTGAATTCCTTTTAAATTGAGCTATTTGTATATTAAATGAAAATAAAACCTTTTTCGCCCAAACTATTTCGCTTTCTCGCAGTTTTATTCCCTTTTAACATTTTGAACGATTCTTCGTGGCCTTTAACCCGCTCGCTGCACTGTCAAGACCCTCGGAGCGTCCCTCGTGCACATATGCTGACGAATGTTGGCATTTTTAATGGCTGCAAGGACACGGTACTCGATGGATCTCTAGCATGTGTTGGTGTACGTGAATGTGAATGTGTGTGTGTGTATATGTTTATGTGTTGGCGTACGTGTATATGTAGGTTGATTCAGTTACTGACTGTATTTGTTATGCAAATGGCGCACTTGCCCAGTTGTTAATATGCTCAGTGTGCGGCTAAGAGGGTAGATTGTTCTTATATATGTAACTCTGAGTAATAGGTAAAAGAAAAGATGCTAGTGTTTATATATTTTATAACTGAAAATTGCAAATTAATTTAATACCAATGGAATACTTTTATAGTTATATATAATGCAGTATTTTCAGAGTAAAAGGTCTTTGCTTGAAGTTCTGGTAAATGCTATGTATTTTCTCTTTGTATTTTCAGTATTTTAAATATAGAGATCTCTGGAAGGTTAGGCTTGGGTATTTTCATTAAGTTATTCAAAATATAGATTTCTTGCCAGGGACCGTAACAATTATATTTTTTATAGAAAAAAAATTAAAAAATAATTAGTTTTAAGTAGCTAATATTTTTTTTTTTTAATTTTATGAAAAATCAATAATAATTATTATAGATCAATTATATAAATAATCTATTCAAAAGATTTATTTTCATTATTTTTTCAATTTTCTTCTTTATTCTTTTATTCTAGTCTTAGGCCTTAGGACCTTTCCTTAAAAAGCAGTAATTGTGAATTTTTTCTATGTTTATTTCTCACCGAGTCCAGAGTATTTGCTAGTTGTTCATTACCGCCCAGACAACTCTATTCTTTGCCCCGTTTTTTGCAAGCTGTTTTGTTTCCTTGCTGGCATCTATCTGGGCTGCAGTGCATATATGGCCAGGACATATCGCCCGGGTCTGGCACAGTTTAACATGCCCCCACCCTGTGTGGGTGTATGTGTGTGTGTGTGTGAGTGTGTGTCGCCTGTTTGCCTTTAACTTGTTACATATTCAAGCGATGTGTATCAGCCATTTAGATAAGGCTACCTAGCATTTGCAGGCTCTTTGGCTATGGTCGCTGGCCCCGCAGCTCAGCTCAACCAGCACAAAGTTCAGCGCGCAAGTCAACTTTTTGGTTGTTGATAAAATGTATGCAAATATATGTTAATTTCCCATGGGTATTCGAGTGCAGCGTATTTAATATTTGTTATTTATTTATTTTCTGCTTTTTTTTATACCACTCCCATTTCGGTTATTGGCTAGCGGATTTGATATTATTTTTATATAAAAGTCTAAGCATATTTTGTATTTCTATTATTGTTCATTTACGGGCAGCCACTCCCCTCTCTCTCTCTCTCTCACTCTCTCTCTCTCTCTCTCTCTCTCTCTCTCTCTCTATATATATATATCTCTCTCTCACTCTCTCACACACACATTTTATGTATGCTGCTTATCGATGATAGAAGCGAGAGGTTCTTATAATATCTATTCAAGCAATCTGTTCACATGTGCCACGTCTGCTCCGTCTCCTGCTCTCTATTACCTACATTTAGCCATAACATCCAGTCATCCCATTTTCAATGATAATATATACAATGTATATAATCATCTAATAATTATAATGGCTCTTTGCTCACCATGCTTTTGCTCCTACCACCCCCCCTTTGAGTTGGCGAGGATCTAATTCTCCTACTCTTCATCGCTCACATTATGGTAAAGCTACCATTATAAACTGATTTCCCATGTTTAATGATAACAAGTATACATACATTTCTTACTATATACACCTTAAGTTTCTGGGCTTTTCAAGTCGCTATCTCTGCCTCTTCTCTCGTTTGCAGTTTAGGCAACATTTTTTCTACGCAATTTTCTCCCCCAAATATGCCTTGCTCAGTTGCTCTCCTAATTACATTTTTAATTAAAAATGTTTGGCCATTCTCGGACAGGTATTCGCTACCTGCTCGATTACGTGCCGCCTTCTCTCTCATGTAATGGCGTTTTTTTTTTTAGTGGTCTTCTTGTTTCTGCTATTGGGTCCAATGAGTAAAATCCAAATTGCACAATTTACATAATTTCTGGCTGCAAATGACTTTCGGCTTGTCTCCAGCTGGAATGCAATGTGCACTCACAACTATGCAAAATTGAAACCGTTGCTAATGGAAAGTCACCTGTATAGGTGGCCACACGATGGCCATTGTCAAAATTTCTGTGCATAGCTTATGAATGAGCTTTGGTCTCGGCCCCAACACCAGCAATAGCACAACAGTGGAGAGTCGAGAGTCGAGGGTCGAGAGTCCAGAGTCGAGAGGTATGCGACCACTGAGTTTGCATGTGCTAAGGGCAACAGCTCACCGAGGCCCTCGCTCGCCCATAATCGGGGCATAATCAGGCAACACAACCAACAACAACAACAGCAACAACAACAAGCAACTCTGATGGGATTGCGTGGTTTCATTTGCATATGTTCTTCGGGCAGCAGAGGTAAACGATTATTTATAGTAGAAGTCCTGCATGCTAAACTGGACAAATATTTATATACATATATGAACTATGGCATTGCATTAAGCTGGGTCGACATGTGCTCAACCTAGATCTAGTTTAGCTGCGCAAATTGCTTTATAGTTAGTTGAGAATTGCTCTCTTAGCCCTCCCATGCTCTTCCTCTTACTCTTTCCCCTTTCGAGTAGGCAGAGATCCAAGTCTCAATTGATTTCAGTTTAACTTAATATTTACAAAGTTTCAGTGCAAAAAGAATTCACAATTTACTTCAGCCAAATTTTAGAATATAGTTAATAGTAGTAACCTTTTAGTCGTGACACCCTTTTGGAGACCCGTTCAAGATGGAAATGGAATTTGATTTTGCCACGCCGCCGCCCGAGGAGCGCATCATACGGACGCACAGTCTGAACCAGGAGCAGGAGGCCGATTTGACGCTGGCGTTCTCCCTGTTCGATACCAATAACACAGGGATTATACCCATGAAGCAGCTGAAGGACATAATGCATGCAGTGGCCCACAATCCACCTGAGCATGAGCTGCAGGACTACTACAATGAATACGATCCCGATGGTACGGATGAGCTGTACCTGAGCGACTTTCTGCACATCATGTCCGTGCGCTACGAGGGCCAGACGCCGGAGGATGAGGTAATACTGGCATTCAAGGTCTTCGACAGAGAGGATAACGGCTGGATACACGAGAACGAGTTCAAGCACATCATGAGCGCATATGGCGATGAGATGGATGAGGACGATCTGGACCAGATTGTGTTGGATGCCAATTCGAATACCGAGGGCAACATCATTTACAGGGATTTCGTCACCATGATGAGCGAACGTTAGAGCTGAGCAGGCGGTGCGAAGCAGCTTTCACTATTTGAAAGTTCGAAATCATTCCGTACAGTCAATAGTCACTCATACATTTGGATACAACGTGCCCTGTTTAAAAATACGAAATTGCTAGTCCTTACGATTAGATCCGACAATGAATCCAGATCTGACTGAGGAGCAAATTGCCGAATACAAAGAGGCGTTCGCCCTCTTTGACAAGAGCAACACGGGCATGATCAGCGTGCGTGAGTTGGGCAATCTGATGCGCTCGCTCGGACAGAATCCCACCGATGCCGAGCTGAGGGATCTGGTCAACGAGGTGGACACCACTGGCAATGGCTCGATTGAGTTCGTTGAGTTCTGCAATTTGATGTCGAAGCAGTCGGTGGACAGCGATGCCGACGAGGAGCTCCGCGAGGCATTCAAGATCTTTGACAAGGACGAGGACGGTTTCATATCTCCAGCCGAGCTGCGCTTTGTGATGGTCAATTTGGGCGAGAAGCTAACCGACGAGGAGATCGACGACATGATACGTGAGGCAGACTTCGATGGCGATGGCAAAATCAACTACGAAGAGTTTGTCTACATGATAACTCAAAAGTAAAATCTTTCTAGCAATTCATTTTTTATTTCATCTTTTTCTAAAGCTAATTACGAAAATTTCTTAAATTAAAATTACTATTGCAAATATTAATCGAGCTCGCTTCTGTTTGTGTGTGTGTGTGATTGACCTCGTTGCGTAGCCACAAGTTCATTATATGCAATGCTTATTATACTTTGAACACACTGAACTGGAATATATGATAGTGTTGTGAAATCTTATATAGCTGGCAGGAGGCGGACGAACTGAGTAGATAGAGTATGTGTGTGTGTGTCTGTAGAGAAAATTTAAAATAGAATATCAGGTTCAAGGGTTCCCCTAGTCGAGCAGTCTGGACTACAGAACTCATATTTGTTTACACATGCGATATATAAATATTATATTTCTCTTCATATAAACATATATATGTAATTATCCAAATCCTTGTTATGCTATGCTTCACGTTGTAGTATATAGTTTGAAAATTCAGCTCACACAATGTGCTGACAAACAGTACAGATATGCAGTGTTATCTCAATTCAGAGAAGAGCCAGAAATGAAAGCAGACAATGCAGAAGTCCTAGGCCTTAAGAGAACTATATAAGACAAGAAACTGCTGTCTGTGCTATCTAATAATTATAAATATTAATGTTCATAAGCCGTTTAGCATATCAACATTTCATTATATATATACTTAAGCATCATATGCCTAAATATAAATAAATATAATAAAAGGAAAGAGACACAGAAGATCGTTTAAGTTGTCTATATGTATGCAGCAATGCTCATTCGGTATTTATATTCAAGTAAAACGAAGCTAGAATGCCTGCAGCAGCAGAGAGCGCTCTCATTGGTCACTTAAAGCTCAACCGACACGATCTCTACCTGTCGTCGGGCTGAGTATTTGAGAGCAACTTCGCTTATGAGTAAAAGGCGCCCCATATAAAGGGCAGCTGCGGCAGCATTTCTTCAGTCGTCCGAAGCCTGTGTGCAAATAAATATAAGAATTAATCCAGGACTGTTTCAGCCTAGTTTCATCCACAATCCAACTTATTTCTCGTAACAGTATCTGGGACTGAGTTGGCGCAGAGAATCTGTCCAGCTGATTTTAAATATCAAATATAACATAATTCGATTAGTACTCAAATTTGTCAATAGAATAAGCTGTATTAAATTACGATTCAACAATGAATTTGGCCGACCTAACTGAAGAGCAAATTGCAGACTATAAAGAGGCGTTTCTTCTTTTCGATAAGGAAAATTCTGGCGTGATTAACTCTCGGCAATTGGGAAATTTGATGCGATCACTCGGCAGTAGTCCCACCGATATTGAACTGAAGGATATGTTGAACGATGTTGATGTCACTGGCAAGGAGCAAATCGACTTTGAGCAATTCTGTAGCCTCATGTGCAGACATGCGCAGGATACTGATTCAGACGAGGAGCTCAAGGAGGCATTCATGATCTTTGACAGGAACGAGGACGGTTTCATATGTGCAGCCGAGCTGCGCTTTGTGATGGCCAATTTGGGCGAGAAGCTGACCGACGAGGAGATCGATGATATGATACGGGAGGCCGACTTCGATGGCGATGGCAAAATCAACTTCGAAGAGTTCGTCTATATGATATCACCGAAATAACAGCTGCTCTTCGGCATATTTGTTTCTCAGATGATAGATTCGTTGCCAATTAGGCAGCCTCAAATGAAAGCACTAAGTAAATTAACTGAACCGAACATGCCTTAGTCTGCGGTTTCTTTGATGATACCTCAGCCAAAGTTCAAAGAGCCTAACCACATTGTCATGAGCAATATTAGTTAACTGGAACTCGAGTGCACTCAGCCAGGTTGTCTTGGCTTGGCTTCACTCCATTGTTAGCTCGCTTTTGCGTAAATTTCATGTTTCACTTCTTGTGGTCGAGAACTGGGAGAGACTTTTCATGCAAGTCCAAAAACTCGATGCCATGTGCTGTATGTGGCCGGGCTGGGAATGCCTGCCAGCAGAGCACCTTTGCGGCCTGCGAGCAATTTTCCTGTTGCTTGTATTCAATTTACCTATGCGTCAAAATTAAATTCTACCCTGGCTTCCCTTGACTCAATTCGCAGAGGGCTTCAGCCTGCAATTTTTTATTCGTTTTCAGGGCAGAGCACGGCAGCTCTGACTGGTCGTCCGGCCAGCTGCCAGTTTTGCATATTGTTTAACAAAATGCCAGCTCTGCTTAATTGGAATTCCAAGAACATTGAAACTGTAATCGATGCACTTTGCGTGTAAACTGTCCAAAATAAGAAAAAAAAACGAACTCAAAATCCAAAAACAATATAAAGGAAAAATTTCAGATTTCAATTTCAGATGCAGCATCAATAAGCACTTCTGCTAGACCATAAATATAATATGCATACAAAGAGAGAGAGAGAGAGAGAGAGAGAGAGAGAGAGAGAGAGAGAGATAGAGATACATATAGAGAGAGCTGCAAAGACAGAGCGGCATGCAGAGTGCAGTTAGGGAATGTGGACTATATCCCGACAGACAGAGGCTCTGGGGCTCAGCATGACAACAGATGCCATTTGTGGGGGTCCAACGACTGGCAAAGGAAATTGAATTTCTATGTGTGTGTGTGTGTTTGTTGGTGTAGATGTTCATTAGTTGTTGTAGTTGGTTCTGTCAGAGCATTCCAATGATAAAGGATGACAGCCCCAGCATGGGGTCATTATATTTTGACATTAATGAGATGCAATGGAAATCGAGCATACAGTTGAATATTAAGTCCAGGATGTAAGTTTGATGCATTCGCAATTTAAATTCAAAAACAAAATGAGAGTGTTTTCTCATTTATTTCTACAAACTCTGCAAACATTTTTAATGATCTATCTAAAATAAATAATTTGTAAATGAAAAAAAAGATTTAAAATAGTATTAAAGATTTAATTTAAGCTGCTTTATGTATGACTTTTATTTTAATATTATTTATGAAGCATAAGAAGGGGTATATGAAAATATGGGGTCTACTATTTAGAGCGTGTTTCGGATTCGTGAATGCTTATTGCAATTTTTCGACCAAAAATGTTCGTGCACATCGATTTCATGTAGAATTTTTTGCGGTTTTTTGCCACACCCAATTCACATACACGCACACACTCATACACCTACGCCAGCTCGGAGTGTCATTTGGGACACTTCTGCACATGTACTTGGCCACGCAAAAAGGCGCATGCAAGTGACATGGACACGGACAAGGGCGAAGGCGATAGCGAGGACGAGGACGAGTACGAGCAGAAGGACGCGTCGAGCACTCTGTAAATGTGCAAAGGCCACATGGCAGCAACAAGAGATGCAAGTAAATGAGTTTTTGGCACTACGGTCAGTGGGCGGAGCAGGGAGTGGGCGAAGGGCAACGGCAAGAGCCGAGTCCTGCCAGCAGCGGTTGTCAAGTGTCCATTTGCAGTAACTCAACTTCAGTTAAATATTTTAGAGCCTGCAACGATTCCCTGTTAATTGGTGGTGAAAACTGGCAAAGCCCAAAATCCCAATCAAGTTGAGTAACCTTCGAAGCTGTTCTCGAAGGTAGGCGCATCGCACCAACCAGAATCCCAACCTCTTTTACGACTACTAAAAACACGAAGTGCTGTCGTTCAATCATATGCCTAAGCCTACTTTTCGTACGGCGGTTACCCTTTTCGGATTAACAGATCAACGCACAAATGGAGGCTCAAATCATCGTCTGGGGACTTGGCGAGCTAACAAACAGCTGGACCGACCCTTTCGATAAGGCCGATAGCTTATCGAGACCAACGGACGCTCACAGCACAAAACAGTTGCAGATAGGCAAAGCCGCTGCGGCTTTGATGACCCAATTAATTTTAGAGCCCAAAAAGAAATGGCCAACTATCTCAGGCGAACGCATTTGGGCGCCGTAAACACGCTCAAACTTAAGTGTTGTAAAGCGTGAAATAACTTGAGCTGAGCTGCACACACACAGCCAATAATGAGATTAGAATATAAAATGTTATGAGCATAGACAAGAGCTTTAAAATGCAAAAGCATTTTCATCTATCCATTGTAAAAAAAAAAAAAAAAAAAAAAAAAAAAAAAAAAAAAAAAAAAAACAGTAAATAGTTATAGATGATTATCAATTTTTTAAATGGAATATGTAAAAGTTTCCTGATGATAAGTTATAAAATACCTTATATTTTAATAATCAAGCAGAAGTTATTTTTAATATTATGCTAAGTGTAATGTCGAACAAATAAATAAAGGATATATATATATATATATCTTTTTAAATTTGTATTAATAACTATAACAAAGTATGCAAAATTAAATATATGTACAAAAAAATAATAATGTAAAATAAAATAAAATAAAATATACTTATATAATTTATTATTGTTTTTATTAATAACATTATAATATTAAAATTTGTATAATAAAAACTATTAAGCTTTAGTACTAATTTTATTATAGTTAATTACATTTCTTAAATATTTTTGTGTAGACATTTGTATTTAATAGCAAATAAATATTTATCTTTAATAAAAATAAAAATATTAAATATTTAAATATTGTAATATTTTCTTTTATGCACTTTTATTTATACAAACAATTGTTGTATACCCAAAATATTTCTATTTACACAAATAAGTTTATAACAAATCAAAAAATATGAATATAGTTGTTATGTCACTTTAAGCCCCAATACATGGATGTCTCCAAGTTTCTTCTTCTCTCTCATATATGTGAGTGCTGGCTGTCTGGCACGTACTTTCCACACACATATACATACGTACAGTTTTTTTTCCAACCTGTCAGTTGACTTCAAGTTGCAAGGGAAAGCCCAAGTGTCTTCGCTGCTCTTAGGAAACATTGCGTTAAATTGCGTGGAAAAGTTATGCACTGTGGGTGATTTTCCATTTCCCGCTGCAACGTTTGTGGCGCTTTTTGCCGCCGCCTACTTTGACGGTGTGTAACATTTTTATTTTTCCATTCTGAAAGTTGACTTGGCAAACTACTTGAAATGTGAAAATGCTCGAGCGGCAACTGGGAAGGAAAACTTGCAGTAACTTTGAAGGTTCACGTAATTATGCGCATTACACAGCTGACCCGGGCCCTCAACCTGTTCCTGCTAATGCGGCTACTCCAGTTTCTCGTAAGCCCGGTGGCCACAGCTGCCACGCCTCTGCAGCAACGGCGCCCCCAATTGCTGCACAGCCGCAGCCACGCACATCAGAAGCGGCTCACCCACAGCATGGACCAAATGGATGAGACGTGCGATACGCCTGGAGGCAGCAACCCTGATCCAGGCCGCGATACAGCCACCGACATGCAGAACTCGAAAGCAGGTGGCAAGTGCGACATTGGGGCAGGACGCACAAATGCCAAGCTATCGGCTACGAACATCGCCCAGAAGGCCGCCTGCGACGCGGAGCAAGCCTTCGGCACCCAGCAGTCGGCGGCGGCGGAGGTGGCGCACATGGTCAAGCAGCAGCTGGCAGATAGGGCCGATGCCGCTGCCAAGGCGGCGGAAGCAGCGCTCTCCGGCAAGCAGCAGGTGGTGGAGCAGCTCGAGGCAGAGCTAGTCGAGGCGGAGGCTGTGCTGCGCCAGGAATTGGAGTGCATTGCCAGTGCCCAGACCAATCTCAACTCCGCCGCGATGTCGGCCAGCAAGGCAGAGGAGGTTATGACGGCCATGCAGCACGGACTGAAGATTGCCGAGGAGAATCTCAATCACGCCAAAGCGACCGCCACCGGTGCTCAGCAGGACCTAGACGAGAAGACGCAGCTGGCGGAAGTGGCCCGAAAACGCATCGAAATGCTGAGGAAAAAGCATCTCGACTACTGCAACGAGCTGCAGAAGATCAAAAAGGCGGCGTACAAAGCGTTCTGTGCCGCGGCCGAGGCACGCAAAAAGGCCAGAGAGCGACGCACGGCACGAAGCAGGCGTCGCAGGAAACGGCAACAAACGGCAGCTGGGGTAGCAGGAGTAGCAGGAGCAGCAGGAGCAGCATGAACAACTGCAGCAGTAATTGGAAGTTGAGCGCAGCGTTTACAGCTGAATTTTTGTCTATATATATTTCTATTTTCTAATCCTTCAATTAAAATTCTCTTATTAAATTTGTAAATCTTATTTATGTTTAATGCTTTATCATTATCCTGCTGCAAGCGAATTCTGTTAAAATTAGTTGAGCGCAGTTTAAACTTTATGTTTATGCCAAATGGAATTATATATATCTGCATAAAATTAAATATGGGCTGGTAGCACCAGAGGCATTGCAAATAAAAAATCTATAATAATAATAATACTCCATCTATTCTTTAGGCACATATAATATGAGCAATTTCTCCTACTATACATTCTATTATTTATAAAATTATATCTTATAAAAATTTCAACTATTATCCTCTTTCCACTCACAGGTTCTACTTTGCAGTTCTTTATCTAAGCTGAGAGCAGTTAACAATCTTCCTATCAATCAATTGAATATTTTATTTATACACATACATATATGTACATGTATGTGTATGTATATTCTCTTTTATTATATTACGCCCATATGGCTCGCAATCAGGTTTCGTTTATGTGCCGTCCATGGTCACATTATTGTTAAGCATGTATTGAGATGTCTGGCGGCGTTCCAGCCCACAACATGGTAATTTAATGCGAAATGCGACTCTTCTATAAGCCAAAATGTTGTTTTGGCCGTACGGAAATCCTTTGAGAGTTTTTAGCGCCAAACAATGTGGGCGACGCCCGAAGGATGCTGGGAAGGTGGTGCCACAAAGGACGCAAAGGGACAATAAAACAATTTGACCAAAGCCATTTCGTTATAAGTTTTGACAGACTTTTTGTCAGCTTAGGGCCCCTTGTTTGCGGGTAATGGGATTGCGACAGGGCGTGGCACCCAAAAGTTTCCTTTTCTGTGCACGTTTTCAATATTTTGTAGTTTTTCAATGGGTACTGCGGGAGAGCTGGCTGGACAGTTTGCCAGAGTATTTGTTATTATTTATAATGAGGCAAAATAAATCATATATATGTATGTAACATTTCGAAAAAAATACATTTGCAAAAAAGTTGTGAACAAATACATATTTGGAGTGTCATTAATTGGGCCATCAAGTGCAAAGTCCTGAATAAGTTGTTCGGGGACTTCCAAAAAAGTTGCGGACAAGCACTTAAAGGCCAAGCATTTTCGTTGGCTCGTGGGTCGCTTAAGCCGCTGATCTGTTAATCCCCCAAGCAGAACGATGGACATGCCAACAGGGGGCAAAAAAGGGTTTTGCTTTTGCGGATTTGGCCAGTTGATTGAGCGGTAAGAGTTTTGTTTTTCGGTTCGTTTTGGCTACGATTCCGGTGGCTTAATGCTTGGCATATTAAGCCGCATGTGGCCTAAATCACTGACTGTTTTTCGACCGTTGAATGTGTATTTATATACATGTTTATGTGTGACTATATATATGTATATATACTCACACTTTAATGCCAACCAACACAAGCGCCAAGTGTTGATCACTCAATTGCCAACAGCGAAAGCAGCGACAGCAGCAGCAAAAACTACTAAAAGTCAGACGAAAAGACACTCCCTCTCTCTCACTCTCTTTGCTTCTCTGTCTCTATCTCTCCCTCCCTCCCTCACTCTTTGTGTATTGCGAACTATTGGCGGTGCTGCGTTGGGGTTGACTGCCTTTCTATTCAGACAACATAAACCGCAACGCCCCATTGTCAACGCCCCTAACTCAACGACAATGAGAATGTCGAATCTCAGCCATTTGACCAAAATGTATTCATTTCAGTCATGGCAGGCAGCCACTTCTATGTGGGTGTGTGTGTGTGTGTGCGGGTGTGCGGGTGTGCGGGCGTTTGCGTGGGTGTATGTTTCGTATCCAATTTGCGTATTTTCAGAAACAAATCAAAACAAATGAAATCAATTCGATGAAGCAAATCTAATTTCATGCGTATTTCCTCGCTTTTTGCTGGACAATAAAAATTTCGGGCCTTTACCCCGCACTTTCTTTCTGCATAAAAATGAAACCCGAAACCGTAACTGAGAATCTATTATTATTGTTGTTGCTGTTGTTGCTGATGTTGTTTGAGTCAACAAATTGCGGCAAAAAGCAAAATACATACTTATTTACGAGTTGCTAGCTGAAATTCAAACAAACTGGCGCCAATTGTTTGAGCCATGTGGGCGTGACAGTCAGCTCATAAAAATTGAGCAAAAGAATCACATTTTGTTGCTAGCACGCAAATAACATAACTCGTCTCTGTATGCGTGTGTGTGTGATGTGATGCTCTGATTGAAGACGGGGCAACGTCTTGTTGAGTTGTGCCTGTCTATTAAATAACAACCAGATACAGATACAGATACAGATACAGATACAGATACAGATACAGATACAGATA